TGTGTGTGTGTGTGTGTTTGTGTGAGAGAGAGTGTTTGTGTGTGTATGTGTGTGTGTGTGTGTGTTTAAATGTCTTCGTACGTCTTGAATGAGTGTGCACGTAGTTTAACTCTCCTTTCCTAAAATAAGCTAAAGCGAAAGTTGCCCTTTGCACATGGCATCATGCCACCTCCAAGTAGGCTCCGTAGAGAGAGAAGACCCTGTATGTCTGCAGCAGGTCGAGTGAGTTCCAAAGAGAGACCTCAACTAGACCTTTACCGGTTGAGTTCTTTGAGGCCAAGCCCTCACCAAAGCAAGGGCAAGTGAGATATTTTACTAGACAATTGCAATGTATACTATTCTGTGTATCCACAGCAATTGATACCGAAATAACACTGACTCAAAAGAAGCCCAGGCAACTTAACCAAACGCCAGAACGAACAACGATAAAAAGCCCTCTCTCGCGGAACGTAGCCCGCATTTCCACGATCACACGATAATGTCCCCCCTCCACTACTCGAGTCTACGTCATTAGTTTTGAATACAAGAACTCGCGGAATAACGGGAAGACTCACACAGCGCCAGCCAACGGATTATTGCCCCCACAGTGGCTCGACGCGTCACTTGCCGACTCGCCGACACACATTCGCCATAATCTCGACACCAGCGCACTTGAACAAACGGATTAACCAGCCCGGGGTTTTTGTTCCGTCAATTTCTCACCGATAACCCTACTACTCCAGGGTTCACGAATTTTAATATCACCCTTGGCACTCCGGGCTTCAGTCGGGACGTACGTGGCTCGTTGGGACTTGGGACTGGGAGTGAGGGTTATAATATTATATCCGAGCTGACACACACACACACACACACACACACACTCACACACACGCGCGCAAGTTTGTCTGGCGGGCATTTCGTTCAATTCCTGCGACATCGAGGGGACACAATTACTGGGACAAAAAGTACTTCTCAGTGGCTCATTCTTAACTCGCCGAGTACGCCTTTTGGATACTTATATTTATAAGTGAAGACTTACGGAAACCTCCTCAATGTCGGCGAAAAAGATTGAACGCTCAACGAGATATGACTACGAACAAGAAAGTAATATAGCTCCAGCTCAGACTTCGTCACTACAAAACGGAAATATGTCATAATTTGCGAAGCTACTTTTGGGCTTTCTTTTCCTCGTTTATCAAAACACAGCCCTTGGCACTCACAAGCACCACCAAGTAAGTTGATATTTGTTTTAATTGAGACTGTTCTTTTAACATGTTTCTTGACTTAGCTTAGTAAGTTTTTGTGTGGGTTTTTTTCGGATTTTATTTGTTTGTATGTGTGTGTATGGGGGGGGGGGCATAGTGTTTATATTTTTTATTCAGTTGGATATCAATAACATTATTTTCTTCGACAACCTCTGCTGTTTGCATGATAGATCAAGATAGAACAATTTTACACAAAATTCTTGAGTTTATGTCTAAACCATAACTTGCCATACTTAATAATATTGTGTCTCTTGGCTCGAATTTTATTTTTTTATTTTTTCATATTGTTCCTCTGTATTTTGTTACCGTCTTTTTTTGCTAAGGTTTATTTTCTTCCTTTTCCTCTTTGTTCCTTTCCAATCTAAACCGTCACTTAAATTACATCATCATCATCATCATCATCATCATCATCATCATCATCATCATCATCATCA